GATATAGCAATTGGATAATCACCCCCCACAAGCCAAGCAAAAACCCACTTAGAACAAAACCCACTTTAAAAAAATGGTTTACAGCTTTGCTTTTAAGGGCAACATAATCTTGCTTCGGTTTCTCCACTTCTGTGATTTGCGTTGAAATTTATTGTTGCTCTTTTGTTTATGTTTAATACGCTTTTTTTTGTAATTAATGCGATTTTTAGTTGGTAAGCTTATAAGTGGAAAGCGGCAAGTGATTAGTTTCCATTTCGTTTGTTGTCTACATAAATAAATGCATTACATATATGTATGTATGTACTTTACATATAGCCTTTCGTTGTGTCACCCTTTTCTCCCACTTGCCTTAAAAGTCGGGCTGCTTTCACCATCCACAACACAGCTTAAATGTACGAGAGCAATAAGCAATACACACTATACAAATATACATACATGACAACGCTATTATATACAAATTACATACACTAACCATTACTCAAGTCGAGAAAAAACGATAAACGAAACGAAAATTGAAAGTGTAAGCTTTTGTTGTATATTTGAGAATTCTAAATAAACGAACAACGTGAATTTCGAACTGTAACGGTGCGGCCAGAGTGATATACTCCTCCGATATATAAACTATATACTATTTGACTATATCTGGTAATAGGCCACTGGTCTTCTGGCCTCTGGGAGCCGCGTCTCTTTCCCACAGCAGCAGCATCGTCGTCACAGCAGCCACATCCAATCCTCCAGCAAGGGGGCCATCGCATCGCATCGCATCGATCCGCTCATCGACCATCGCGAAATTTCAGCCCAGCTTTCTCCCCTCCCCCTCCATCTCGTCCATCATCTAGAACAACAACAAACAACAATAATAATTATAATTATAATAATAATAGAACAACAGCAGCAGCAGATTGTCGCCGCTTTCATCTCGAATCATGCAAAATGCACCAGACACATTACATGAAGATACAGATACATTACAGATACACTTGCAGCTGCGGTTAAAATAATGGCAGGACTAATCATGATAAGCGTTAAATTTATGTGCTTTAAGTGGTTTTTATAGTTACAGCATATCTGCTGTATGAACTTACTGAACAATATTTATAATGAATTAAACGATGTAAATTGTAATTATAATGAATGGTGACATATTTGAATATTAACATATCTGCAGTAATTTTAACGAGTGGCCGTAGGGCCGTAACTTCTATTCAAAATTTAAGAGCATATTAAGGATCTAATCTATTTTGATCGCAGCCATGCAAACGTACAGACATCACCACATGTACATACATTTCAAAAACAGCAGGCAAGCCTTTTAGAAAGTGTATAAAAATAAACACTCATCAAGAACAAGAACCAACAACTTACATGTTATCAAGTGACATAACGTAAATAACAATAGCCAAACTACTACTACCTTCCCCCCCAACAACATCAACAACAACAACAACCACTTAAAAAACTGCAACAGCAACGCCGCTGTCCACGCCAGCGAGTTCGCCCTGTGGAACTAAATACCACACCTACTCCTCCATCTTCTTTGCGAACTTCCGGGAGCAGCAGCAGCAGGCGATGGAGGAGCGCGAGCGTGAGCGGGAAAGGGAGCGGGATCGCCAGCGGCAGCTGAGCCTCCGTGTGGGCAATCGCCTCCGGGAGACGGCCATCAATTGCACCAACACGAGCACCAACCGCACCACCGCCGGCCAGGGGGACAATAATAACGCGGATGGTCGCAGCGTCGACGGGGACGATCTGGATGTGGAGAATGGAAATGGATGTGCCAGCGGCAGCGGAACAGGAACCGGAAATGGCAACCGAGCTTACGTGACCACGGACACATCGGGCACCCTTTACTACGGCACCCAGAGCAACAAGATACGCATCACAGAGAACCCACTGCCCGAGCCGGTTAGCTCTTAGATTGTTACTGCAGAGCCACATAATCTCCAAAAGACACATTGTTATTGTTGTTACCACACACTGAGAAAAATAATGCAGCAGCAGCAGCCAAGTCAAGCCAAGCTTTCAGCCGTGCTCCAAGAGACACAAAGCCACAGAAACTCAAAGAATAATAATATTATATAATACAAGCAACTCACACACCGCTAGGAAATGAATGCGAATGCAATAATTAACCACCAAATGAGAACCCATTGATTGATTGATTGATTGATGATTGTGTTTCCCTATGGTTTTCGATATGCGGAGAGATATTTGTAATTTACACTTTGTGCCTGAGCGTAACGTAACGAACATACACGTATATATATCAAGCCAGATCGGTTGAGATCAGCAACAGCAGTTTAGTTTTCTATGCCCAATTGGTTATATGTTTTTTTTTCTGGAGTGCAACACATATTTTATGACGAGCTTGCTTAGTTGTTGTAAATCGAACAATATACAAAATATGTGTATACAGATGACACAAGAACAAAAACTAAAAACTAACGAGCATTTTCGCTTAATGTTAAAACCTAAAACAAATCCAACTGTTATCTTAATCCCATAAATAACAATGTAGCATATCAAATAACAAACGAAAAATCTCTCAAAATTACGTATATACTTATACAAAACCCTAGATAAATCGTAGACAATTGCGAATTGCGAGTAACTTCAAGCAAAATTCTGTTCACAATGAATGAAGAGAAAACCCTAGACACAGGACACTGTCACAAAAAGAACACATACACGATATGAATATAGAATACATACATATAATATATATAAATAATGACAACTTTTTGCAATAACTTCGAATTCAATTCAATAAAAGTTTTAGAAGCTTGAGTTCGCTTTTTCTATTACTTCGGTTGGAGCATTTCGCTAATCCTGCGTAGAGTCTCCTCGCGATCGCGACGCATCAGTTCGGATACTTGTTCCAGAAAATGATGCTGCTGCTCGCGTTGCTGCCGCAGGAAGCTCTCGTTGGTAGTTTTGATCTGTGCAAGCAGTTGCTTTTGACCTTCCATGATGGCAGTGAGTGCTTCAATAGGCGTTGGTTCAGCCTCCATCTCTATGGCGTCCTCATAGTCATCGCTATCGGCAGCCGCTCTTAGGAGATCGCAGGTGGAGCTGGAGTTATCGCTGTCACTCTCCAGGGGAACGCTTGGTTTGCCTGGCGGCTTGGGAAAGGACAGTTGGCTGCTGCGAATGGGCCTTGGAATAGCACTTTTTTTGTTTTCTGGCGGTGCCTGAATCAGTTCGTCGAAAAGCTCAAAGTGGCGAGGCAGAATGCGTACATTATCTAGCCCGTGCTCCTTGGCCTCGCGATGACGCTTGCAGAGTAGTCTCAGTTTATTGCGCAGTTGGTGGGGAGTGCGTTTAATGGCCTGCTTAGCCAAGATGTTGGAAATGTGCACCAGGGTCTGGAAGTTGCGCTTTCGGGAACCATCCAAGGCGCGGAAGAAACCATTGTCCCGAATGATGAGTAGAAACGAATCGACCTCTTCGTCTGTCCAAAAGTGCGCTAAGTGGCGATTGTGGTGATTTCATTAAATATGGAATAGGTAATAGGATATAATAATAGCAAGTGTAATAACTACCTCCGCTTCTCTGTGATGCATCACCCTCGTCCTCGTCACTGTCATTAAAATCACTATCGCTTGCGCTGCTACGATTGGCTTCCGCTTCAGCCTCTGCGGCTGCCTCCTCTTCGGTGGGATCCAGGACCAGTCGCATCGCCTCAAAGTGCTCGAACGAATCGCCTGTACCGTTCTTGACCTTGTTGTACAATCGTCGCAGCTGCTGGAACTTGATGCGCAGCTTCGTCGCACCCTTATGACAGTTGCGTTTTGCCATCTCTTTGGCCAGCAGCTTAAAGACCTTGGCGTTGCGCTTTTGTAGCAAAGCTGCCCGCAGACCAAGAGTGTGAATCAGTTCTAGGAGGAGATCCACTTCGCCCTCTGCCCACTTGCAGCGGGCAACGATGTTAATTGAAGAGCCAGAGGCATCCAAAGCATCTGCGAAGGAGAGTCCCTTAATTTCATGTTCAAATGCATTCTTCCCTGGTGGCACCTACCGTCCCCTTCTATTTCCGAGATCATGCCGGACTGGTCCTCGTCGGCCTCCACATCGGTGTCACTCTCTAGCACCTCTTCATCCTGATCAGATAGATCCTCTCCCTGCATCAGCTCGTGGACCGCCTCAAAGTGCTCGAACGGCTCGCCTCCATTCCGGGCCCTTGCATACTGACGGCGCATCTGATGGAACTTCACTCGCAGATGCTTTGGACTCTTGGGGCAGTTGCGTCTGGCCATTTCCCTGGATACCATCCGAAACACCTTTGCATTGCTCCTCGCCCTCCGCAGTGCAGCTTGCAGTTTCAGTTGGTGGATGATACCCAGAAAGGTCTCCACCTCGGCGCCTGTCCACTTGCAGCGGCTGGCTTTTCCAGAACTGTTCTCCGACACCGAGTGATTCGCATTTTCCAGATCTGATATGAAAAATAAGGATTTGATAACATCGAATCGGAGGCCGCAGCTTACCCACTCATAAGGTGTGCATATTTCTGCTCTGTTTCGTGGTCGTCCTCATCGTTGCCATTGAATAGCGAGAACTTGCTCATTTTTAAATATTACTGCTTAACTTCGCGATAAAACCAATAAATATATTTATGTTTAATCAGATCATAACAATAACAAGACTGTCATCGATATTAGGACGCGCTGAGCCATCTATTGTTATCGACTAACCGTGTGGCCGTACCATAATGCAACTTGATGTAAGTTACATGTAAGGAAAAATGTATGCATTATGTAGAATAGCGAACAATCTGATATGAAACCGAAATCAACGCCCACTCCAACGCCCACAAACCGCCCAAAAAAAATCTTTTAAAAAATGTTGTGATATTTTTTTACTTTTTTATATATCTTATAAATTTCTATAGATTTGCCAAAATACTTGCACATAATTTTTGCCAAATAAATAATAAAACCAAATATAAAACTCTCACGCCCACACCTTACAAATTTTTAATTTGTTTTTCATGTTTATATTTTTTCCACAATTTTCATTTCCTCTACTTCATTTCCACTTCTACTTCTACTTCTCGATAATGGTTTTGTTGTAAATATGTCGTAGACATTTTCCCAATTTCATGTGAAATCTTCTGAATTGGAGGAAATTTGTTGCATTTTGAAATTAATAATAACAATTTGTTAATATTATTATCGATATCTTTCATCTTATTTATAATCCATTCCATGTGATGGTGTACATTGGTGTAAACACCTGGCGTATTAATCTGGCACTTTTCGGATCCAAAGCTGGCCAACCCGTACTGGAAAGTCAGGAGCTTATTGTCATAGTGAAATTTGTAGCTCAAGGGGCCTCCAGAATCCCCCTGACAAGTGTTACTGGTATGACTGGCAGCACATATCTGCGATCGATCAGCCTGTTTTTTGAACATACGGTTACAAAATGAAATATCCACGTTATGTAGAGTGGTGTTCCGCAGGATCCGGCTAAATCTAGCATATTCTGTCCCACCCCAGCCGGTAAACGTGAATTTTGAAGCGCTTGGTAGTTGCTCATCGACAAGGAGACAGATCGGCCTCACATAATCTGTAGAAAATACTTAAAGCTTTAGTGCACCACGTAAGATTAGCCCTCCAATTACCTGAGTACTCCACAGCTTTGGACATTTTAAGCAGCGCAATGTCATTCTGGTAAGTGAATTCCTTATAATCATGGTGAACAGCTGTCAAAAGCACACTAATGTTGTAGAACCTTGGTATACAGTGATTATTGACGCAGTGCGGGTTGGGATCTATCGTTTCGTATTCACCCAGGCGCACATAGATTCCGCTATTAGGGATTCCTTTAACGGATATGCAGTGCGCTGCTGTCAGGACGAATTCTTAAATAATCGCATATAAAACACACATCGATGTAATTGAAATCAAGAAGGAACGCTAGGGTCGACTGTAGATCTATATCTTTGATAGAGATGATATTTTGTTTAGGTAAAATACTTACGCGGTGTAATGAGAGAGCCGCCACATATCGCTCTTGACTGAACCAGCACCATCCAAGGATTCTGGCGAATACTTGTTTTTTTTCCTCCAATAACCTTCGCATCGTATTGATCGTCCAATGATGTTCCACATTTCTTATCCAACAACCACGACATTACGTTGTTTCTGCCACAAAATAGGCAAAAGAGTACCGCGATCACCGTACTGACTACTTTCATGATTTTGCGAAGACTACTTGGTGAGCACCCAGGCTATTTCCGATTTATAGAGGCTTGTTCCAGTTCGGATTTGGAGTTAAAAAGTTCAAGCTGAGGGAATTTCACATAAGCGTAAATTAGGTTTCTGCTGAAATTTGAATACTTGCTTTTCCCAAAATTTTACGGCAGCAGTGATGGCTATTTATATTATATTTTTAAATACTTTATATTTGCAATGTTCTAAGTATACAATTTTAGAATGAATAATGATTATACATATTTGTGTTAAAAAAATATTGTTTTAATGAGGAGTTCAATTAAGTTTATTTTATTCTAGCCTAAACCAAATGGTTCGAATCAAACATCGAGCAAAGCGGGCAAATCGGTTAAAATGGTTCAAGCAAACGCAATTCGGTTCGATTCGAACATCGAACGAAGCGGGCAAATCGGTTAAAACGGTTCAACCGAAGCTATATAAGCAACCCGCAACAGCAACCCGTAAATTTGAAGATAGATTTCAAGCCGCGCTGTCCGTGTTTCTGTGTGTCAGTTTCCAATCGAAAACATCAACAATAACATAGAAAACTGCGCTTGCGTATTCGGTGAAATCGCCGGGCATATTACGAAATAGTTTAAATATTATGTTATTTTAATATCATTATCAAGTGCAATTCTGCGGCAATCGCAATTGTTTATATTGTACACAATACAACAGGCGGAGCTTTTCGGCCAACAGTGTTTGTGTGTGTGTGTGTGCTAGTGCGTGTGTGCGATCGCCAAGTTAGTTTCACATTGGCTTCAGCTTTTTTGTAATCGCCTCCGCGCGATCGTTCGCGTTATCTGTGTGCTTTTTGCCGCATTTAAATTGGCACGGTCGTTTCGCGAATATAGGAAAATCAAAACAGAGATCGGTCCCAAAGTTGTAGTGGAAAATTCGTTGCCAATCGCCGGTCAAAGTCTGGCTTTTTGAGATGGGGCAAGGAGGAGCGTCGGCCACGCTTCACTAGGCACCGCCCACAATCCCCCCTCCAAAAGCGACTCGAAGTAAACAAGCAAATCCGCGGAGATTCGCGTGTTTGTACAGTTGGTGAATATAAGCAAATCGACCCCGCATCGGGATTGGGATTATCAGCATGTGGATGAGCATATCGCGAGGATCGTGGGGCAGCAGCTCCCTCTTGTCGTTGGTGCTGATCCTCGCCTGCTTGGCATCCATCGCCACAAGTGCATCGGTCAGCAATGCCGGCTATGTGGATAATGGCAATATGAAAGGTAAGCTCTTTTCCACCACACAGTCGAGCTTCTGTAACTCGAACCGCCAACTGGCAGCCGTCAATTAAATATGCCACCAATATGGTTAGGAATTTTAATGAAACTGAAATGTGGCACAATTTTAAATATTCAGCGGTGCAAATGCAATGCATATCAAATAAAATAGAGCCCAAAGTGATATAGCCTAAATACCATGTAGGCCAGATGGACTGTGTGTTCCTTAGCCAAAGAAAAACTGCGCCGATTTCTACGTATCAGCATGAGACACTCGTATTTGTTTCTGTGATAGCAATGCGGCAGATACCGATGGAAAAAAGCAAGGTGCTGTGCTCTGAGACCAATCTGAGATCATTCATGGGTGCGGGACAAAGGGGGCCCTTTGGACAAAGATTGATAAAAGGGATTGGATTCATTCAGCAGGGGCACAACGAAGAGTAGAAGTTACCCGGGGAGGAAGTGAGTGCTATCTGTATCTTTCGATCCCTTCGCTTATCGTGCATCTGTTCAGACTGAGAGCCAGCCTCGGATTCTGTTCGGCTTCTTTCTCTGGTTATATGGTTATATGGGCATAGGGAAGAACAACAGGTTTCCCGTGAGCAGTGATTTCCCATGAGCAGTGCAAACACACATAGGCACACACAATTATGGACCTTTTCTACCTGTTGGTTACCTGTGTGGGTACTACCAGGTAGAGCCCATTAAGCATCTCGAAATATGAATGAAGTACAGATACAGATACAGATACAGACACATGGGGCAGACACAGATACAGATACAGATGGAAACGCAGATTCGGATTGCCTCGTTAAAAAGGACAACAACTTTTGGCGATGCAGCGGCGTTTATTCAAATTTCCAGCTCGGTTCTATTGCTTGCAAAAACCAGTTTTGGCTCTTTACGTCTTTCTTGCAAAAAAGCGAGTGAAGTGAGTAAAACAAAAAGAAGAAACAACAACAAATACAAGCCCACATGCATGTCTCTCCCCTCTGCGACCGACTTACGGCTGGTTTTGCTGGGTTTTTGTTTGGTTTTTGCCCAGACTTCCTACCACCTGCGCCCCCCTCTCGCTCCCCGCTGCTTTTCGCCAACTCTGTACGCATCTGAACCGTGAGATTTTATTTCATGCAAAAAAGCCAGTGAAAAACACCAGAGCCACCGAGCAGAGGCACAGCCAGAAAAAGTAGAAGTACTCGGTTGCGCATGCGCAACACAGAGCGGGATGGCGAACGCGAAGGGAGGCAGTGAGAAAGGGAGGGGGATAGTCGACCTGTGCAGGTGTTTTGCGCTTGCAACAAGGAAACCAGCTTGTAAATTATAAGTTCGGCTCGCTGCAGTTGCAGCCTGGTTTTCGGTGGTTTATGGCCGAGTCGGTGGCCGTTAATGGCTTACTAAAAGGGTCAGAGGTTGAGGTTCAAGTTTGAAGTCCAGTTTCAACTGGGCGTAATGAGATAGAGCAGATAGTAGTTCATTTATTAGCTAATTAAGCCTAAAGTTGGTGAATATTAAAATGACATTTTTAGGGAATTCATACAGACGTGCGTGATACATTTTAAAGTTATTCTCAACAGTGCTTGTTGTAGTTTGCAAACTGGTTCGCTCCTTTGGCAATCATGTAACGCAAAATGTTGCTGAACTGCCGATGCATTCGTACATGTAATGAGACATTCGGCCTGTAAACTTGAAGATATTATGCCCACGATACTATAATGGGACGTGACCGTGAACGCGGTTTGCTTTAAATTTGATGATTACCTTTTTCGAATAGGTGAAGTGGAGATTATTTTTGTATCAGCAGAAACCACCTTTTGCATGTGTATGATTCACTGCTGCTTATCGGCGGATAAGGCCGTAAAAGCGGAAAATAATTATAAGCAACTCCATACAGCTGGGTCTATAATGAATTGGGATTTTCCAGCTTGCGACAAAATCAGAAGATACTGAGAGCATTTGTATCCTGTTTCGGGACTTCGGTTCCAGCGAAACAGGAACCGGCTAAGTGGCCAGTCGAGGATCGCGACATTTCCCATTGTCAAGCCGAGCAAAGTCGAGTCGAGTGTCTGGCCCTTAAAAAAAACATATTTTCGTCATATTTTTGAGAGACCATAAGAGCCGGCTGGCAGGTAAGGAGAAGGAGCTCGCCCACGTCTCAGGTTCGTACTTTGCTTTCTCCTTGCGGAGCAACGTATCCGATTTCATAAAGGACATGCCACATTTCGTTGAGCTCCGTTCTCGGCGGATGCACAGCCCAGAAAGTTCCCATGTCCTTTTAGCTGGAAAATGGAAAACCACTTGAGCTGTCTGTGATTATGAAGAGCCCACTTGAGAGCCACCAGCATTTCTCGATTCTCGCTTCGCCCACTCAATTGCATTCTATCTCATGAGCATGCTACTGATACTGCATCTCCAAGATACATTTCTGCCCTTTGTTTTTTTGTTTTTTTTTTTTGGGGCACGACGATTCTCCTCCGATTCTCACGTATGTGCATGGCCAGATGGGAAGTTGGTGGGGGCAAAGAGGCGTGTAATCATAAATAATAATCAATTTCCTGTGCCCAAAATGTTTCCCATCGCTCCGCAAGTTTTCCACTTCCATTTCCATTTCCATTTTCCAGCTGGCGAGCGTATGCAACTGCAAGTTTTTCCTTTCTGCCGAGAAAATGAAAATAAAATCTGACAGCGCAATGCGAGGTGAGGGGCCAATCAGCCGATTGTTTAAAACGTATTTATTGTTTGCCGTTTTTCCCCTGCACCCATGCGGCTCTCCTGCGGTCCGTTTGTTTGATTTGTCGAACATTTGTGCACATTTGTTTCCCCCATTTGCATGTGAGCCCTCCCCACCCGAAATGGAGGCTGCCAATGGGGGCGTCCATCGCCTCGATTCTTAGTGAATCCGCCTCGGATTCCGTGCTGCTTCGGCTCGCTGCCTCGTTTTGTGGCCGCCGCTCGGCTGCTGGGGTTAAGTGTTGGCCCAATCAACGGCTGCCCCATTTGTTGCCCATGACGCATGCGTCCTCCACGCGGTGCCCTAAACTCCCCACTGCCAAGGGGTGTAGCGAACTGGTGCAAAGCCCTAGATATATATGATATTACCTATGCTTACATATATACTGTACTCAAAAGATCGTTTGCCGGACTTTCCAGGTCTTCTTGCATCTTCTAAAAATGTGCTGAATTTAACAAGATATTTTAAATGTGATAAACAAAGCAATCAGCAGATTGCTGATTTTTCTTCACCAAATATAATTCAAATGAATTCATAAATCGCATTCAAAAGCCTTGTTGCCATGAAAAATATCTTAATACAGGGTATTCCACGCCTCTCTACCACAATTCCGCTTTCCATTTATTGTTATCACAGGGCATGCGGCAGTGCAGCCTTCGTCTCCCCCAAAATGTATCTTTTCGTGGCAACATCGCTGTTTTGTTTATGACTTGGCCAAAAATACGAAGGAAGCAGATTGCGCCAGCTGTTGCGGGCTTGGATGCGATGGCTTGAGATGCGGATGAGTCGGGAGGAGGGGCACAGATGCGGCGCTGGGGCGATCGCCTTACCCTTTTGCCACATTGTGCGGATCAAGAGATACTGCAATTAGTGAAGGGGGCACTTGCAACATCGGCGAGTGTGGGTGGTGCCGCGGGGCGGGAGGGGGCCTGCGCCATATGTCACTTCGGTAAGCTGAGCCTTCGCATCGGATTACCACTTAGCCATAGCTGCTCCACCGCTCCCCCCGCCCTAGGCTTGCTATATACTCGTATGT